TTAGTGAAAATTATCTACGCCTTTAATTTGTCATAAAACTACGCGCCTAAATTATAAAGCACATTTGACAGATTCTGAAGTGGAAAGCATGCTTATCAGACACGGGCACCGCGATGCGGTGGATATTTTTTCCACAAACCAAAACGTTTAGCCGTCAAAAAGCAATCGACCGAAATGGATAGATAACCCAACCGACACAAGAACAACCGAACACCCGCCGATCGAAAATATCCCTTTTCGCGTTGTGGAGCACGCGGGTCACCCTAGTATTTTGCTATTTGAGGTTACTGATGCCAGGTCAGGTCACAGAGGTCAGCTCACTGAGGGTCACAAAATGGAAATATCACGTGATGAATATTTTATGGACCATTTTACATAACAAATGCAATTATGTGGGTCAGGCCGGTCAGGCCAGGTCAGGCAGCCTTTGGGGCCACTTTAGGTTATGTTCTGGTCAAGCTCAGGTCAAGGTTAGGTCAAATTGGGTCAAATTTCAAACTTGATATTTTTGCATAAAATGGTTAGGTACTGATTTGATGCAGCTCTTCACGGAGAGTCTAATGGTGGTCTTTGTTTTGCGCTACGTGGTCTAGAATTGCTAAAGTGAGTTAAAAAATTTGACGTCAACAGTTTTGGACAATTTTTTGCTATAACTTGGCCAAAAAAGTAGGTATCGATTTAAAATTTGGTCCTATAGGAGAGCACAGGGACTATCACATTAAGGGATTCTTTTTTTGAAATTCGAAATAGTTTTGGGTTTTTCGCACTTTTCTAAAAACAAATCAGCTTTTTTAATTTATTATTTTGAAGGTCAAAATCCCAAAATTTTGAAAATCCGAGATAGCAGTTTTGTGGCGCCGTCTTTTCCCTACATGACCATGTACAGAACTTTGAAATTGCTTGTTAACTCTAGCTTTTGTGAGCGTTTCAAGATTTCATGTTTTTTGCTCATTTTTGCTCGAATATGACCTTAGTTTGACCTCAATAACTCCTGACCTAAGGTGACCTAAGGCTTGAAATTTTGTGTAAAGGTGTCAAATTGATGACCGGGAAGGTAGGTACGGAAAATTTTACGGCGCTGCGCGCCGCCGTTTTCTTGTTATTCAGAAAAAAAAAACAGAGTGTGATAATGGTGAAGTCACGTGAACGACCTGACCTCAGGTGATCTATACAAAATCCGAAACGTACAAGTCGTGAAGGCTCAGGAGGTTTATAAGTTGTGCTTACATTTAAGTTTCATTTTTCAGCGAAAGGCTCCCGACCCCCTGCCACTGAGGGCATTGCGAAGTTGCGACGTTTTAGAACTGTGCAGAGCTTCAGTTATGGTGTCATAGGTCAAAGAACTGACCACCTGACGTGACCTGACGTGGAAATGAGGTTAGTATCAATAAGATCTATTTTGAATCAAAAGTTGAGAGTGCTAGCGTTCAGTTTTTTTAACCCGCGCCCCGTAGGGCTACCGGCGGACCCTACCACCCGTAGGGGGGGGGGGGGCGTTTCGGCCCCCCTAAGATCTCGGAAACTTACCGGACAATTTTCAAAATTCAAAGGGCGTTCAATAGCCCCACCCGGGAACTACCTAATGACCAGATTTCATTGACCTAGGTCAAACCAATGACGTCACAGGTCAGGTCAAAGGTCAGATTTTCACCGTTCACAGGCATTTCAAGAAATGTGTTGTGAAATCGAGTAAATTGGTAAGTTATTGAAAACCATCGATGGTACATTGTTCGTCAAACACATACTTGGCTATCTGAGGTCACTGATACCAGGTCAGGTCACAGAGGTCAGGTCACTGGGGGGTCACAATATGAAAGTGTCATGTGATACATGTTTTATGGTCCATTTTACATGACAAATGCGATTATGTGGGTCAGGGAGCCTTTGGGGACAGCTAAGGTCACGTTTTGGTGAAGGTCAGGTCAAGGTCAGGTCATATTAGGTCAAATTTCGAAGTTGATATTTTTGCATAAAATGGGTATTGATTCGATGCAGCTCGTCACGGGGAGTCCAATGGTGGTCTTTGTTTTGCCCTACGTGGTCTAGAATTGCTAAAAATTGAGTTAGAAAATTTGACGTCATCATTTTTGAACAATTTTTTTCGCTATAACTTGGCCAAAAAACGTGATATCGATCTGAAATTTGGTATGTATATAGAACGCAGTAGGTAATATCACATACCTACATTCCGGTTTTTTCGAAACTCAAAAAACTTTTTGGATTTTTAGGCTAATATATCCAAAAAATAGCATTTTTGATTTTTGGGGGTCAAAACTCGAAAATTTCAAAAGTCCGAGATAGCAGTTTTGTAGCCCTGTCAATTCTACACCTTTTATGTCTTGCTCATGTTTCTGTATCTTCAAAGCTGTAGGCCTGGCAGCTCTTCTCGCGAAGGTCTTTTTTCGGTCGAAAATGGCAGAACATGACGTCATTCTGACGTCATTTGTGGCCATCCTATCATAGCCTCTGGAAAAATATTTGGTCACAATGTGTAGAATTGATGCCCGGAGGGGTCTTGAAAGTTTTGTGGCGATATCTCCAGCCGTTTGGGAGATATAGACGGAAAAGGACAGGGGGGCCGTTTCGCCCCCCCCCCCTCCCTACGGGGCGCGGGCCATCGACCAGCACGTTCCCAGTAATCACAAAATAAAGAAGAAAACGTTTCAGTGGGTGACACCTCAGCCCTACCCCCTCAGCCAGGGATGAGGGAGGGCTTAGTCATTAGTGAGTTGGATATGTATGAAATGCTTACATGTGCAACCAATACAAAGATGCATGACTAGGATGTAGGCCTTAGGGGGCGTAAAAACATCGCTGAGTGTTGTGAGTTGCGACTTGTTCATACTCATCTGACGGATGTTTTAGAGAGCAAACAAGGCGCTGGCGGTCGTGAGGATAAAGTTGGCATCCCTGTTTTGTCATTTCCTGCCAAAAGATCGGTTGGCGGTGACTCTATGGATAAACAGTGCCGAGAGAAATGAACGGAACCACTAAGGTTCATCGAGTTTGTTTGTTTGTTTTGTTGGTTTAGGCTCTTTCGGTCTAACCTAACGAGATTATTCCAGAGCCAGAAGGATGATAGGAATAAGAGGGAGATATTGGCCTGGGCGGGCACCCTGGACCCGCCGGAGCTGAGCCCATCACGTAGACAGGCCACCTGCAGCCCCGCTAACGGTCACCGAACTCGGCTACGGGCCTGCTCCTGGGGTGGAGCTAGCTACCCATGCGAAATACCTAAAGTTGCCCGTCCAGCGCGAAACTGGGGGATTGAGGTGTAGAGCAGGATTTGACTATTCTAAGGATGGAAACGATGGACCGGAGCGTTTATCGAGCGGTTCGTTTCATTCAAGAATCTGGTCGCAGCCATCTACGCATTGACTATTGAGCATCGTAGTAGGCGCACCGAGCAGGGCTCCAACTCGCGCGCCATCTACGCCACCCGAGTCTCTGCTTCGGTAGCAGAATTACGGTGAGCGGAGAGCACACATGACAGTGACATCTGGTGGCGATCCATTGGAGGACCAAGGCCTCGGCTCAGCCTGATCAGCGATCATTTGTAGGTGCATATAATTGGTGATTCGGATCACGAGTCCAATGGAAAATGCAGATGCTGATGCAGTTCTGCTGTAAATTGTCGCCTCTGAATGACATCCGTCCCATGGTAGCCGTGCCTTCCTCATACGTCCACTAGCCCGTAACTTCGGCACATGTGAACCAGTCCTCCCATTCGCTCGCCGCTCACAGCGCTAGCAGCAGCGTCACCTATGCGACGTCAACGCGCTTTTCAGTGACGCTCCTAGCAATAGCGGGGCTCAGATGACGCCACTGTCGCATAATCATTGATCAGCTTCTACCTCCCAGAAAACGGTCGTCAGTCGTGCAACACGGTCGTGTAAAATCGATAAAGCATGTAATTAAATCCGCATTGTGGAGTTAGTCAGATGGAAAGTAGCATATCGAGAGATGGCGATCGAGACGATCCTAAACCCCAAGTAGCGAGATGAAGGTAAAGAAGGAAAGGCGCGGAACAGTGATGGAAGGAGGGTCACTCTAACAAGGTTCGGCTGGGCCGACAGGCTCTTCGGGCCTGACGGCCCTCGGAGCTTTCGCTAAAAAACCTCTGAAATTTATTGAATCATCCAGACTCCGGGTATGAATATAATATTCTATCGATAAAGCGAGTGGGATTGATCATAACCCGCATAAAAGCTGGTCAAGCTTCAATCACACTGCTTGTCTAACAGAAGTGGAAAATATGGTCGCATTGGTCTACTAACTCAACTGAACTGAACTGACCTGAGTCAATGTCAAAGTCGGGCTGATATTGTTTTTTTTCTAGTACCCAATACCTTTCTGTGGCGGGATGGTAGTTAAGTTACGCGGTTCAACATTGTCCTACCTAATTAGTTTTGAAGCACTTTGGAACATCCTAGCAATTAAGGTTGTTTGTTCTCTAAGGCTTCCCCGCTCCCAAGTGATGCGACGAACCTTTATTTTTGTTCCCGTTGTTGGAAGAATGTAGCCGAACTTGTCGTATCGCTCTCGATATATTTTCACAAATTATTTGACGGAATCTGCAGATTCTCACAATGCAGTCCGAGCTATGAACTCCAGACTGATTTCCTGATTCACGTAGTACAGAGCGCATAAAATCAAAATATGATGTCCTCCTTGCATTCCTTCTACAGTTTATGTGGCATACTCCCGGCAAGACGTGACGACAACGAGCTGCTCCCACCACTGTCCACTCCTAGATCATTTTTTTTCACTTTTACGTTTGCAGGACATTTCGTTGGGTCGACTCCATTTAAACTGTTACAACATTTTGGCATCGTCAAAAATTGCAGTTATCCCTTATTTTGAAGGACTACCTTTCTCTAGTTAATGCCGAATATAAGAAAGTGATTGTGTGACATGACCGGCGAAGCTGGCAAGGCTGGGTTGGTGGATACAGGGGTGTGTACCGTGTATGTTTGTGGTCCATCTCCAAAGATCGCCGATCAGTGTCGTCGGATCCATTGTATTATTGTAAAACGGACGAAATTCACCGCAGTGCAATCATCAAATCAACGTGTCGTCACTCGTCTGACCCTCGGTAATGCACGCTATACTTAATATATGGTTTAGAGGTTAGTAACAAACCAGTAATGATGTATACCTACCTGAGAATGATCAACATAAGCGCAAACAAAACCGCTAAATAGGACACACAAATACACAACAATCCAACACAACACTCCAAGATACGCACAGCGTTTCGAGGTTTCGACACAAGTTTTTAACGTTACAACAACATCGTTTATAACAAAGACAACCGTTAACAGGGGACACTGAATGTCACGCTCGTAAACCGGAGCAGCCCATTCGACCGTGACGACGTACATATGTCCGCTTGACCGTGATGACTATAACACGCTCAACCGTGGTAACGGCCGCCGCCGGTAAAGCGACCGAGGCTGATAACGGATCGGGTGGCTTCTTTATATCCATGGTGTCGTGGAAGCCGATGATTCCTCCGTTTGTAATTTGGTTTATACTCGCACTCTTCAGTGTCAACATCTGAGGAAGATCAGAGGATCAAATGTAATACGGAGCGATACTCGATAGTACAGTTTTAATATCTTCTGCACTTTCAGAGAAGGCATTTTCTTCCAACAGTGCAGCCTTTCTCTTCTTGTATTACAGCAGTTTTAATCAACAACAATGCTCAAGCCTTTTCTGACGCCCATTAACGATAAGCTACTCAAGTATCACATACGAGAACCAATTAGTTCTAACTGGCAAGCGCCGCAGGTACGGGCGTGCCGCTGCACGCCACTGAGAGCTGTCATCTCACCTAGACGGTCTGTATCGCCGCGTGGTGCAGGTACTCGGATACGAAGACGCGCAGCACTCGATTCAGATTGGTCACTGTCGGACCATGGATGGCCGAAGCGTCGTCAGAACTCTTGTGCCATACAGACGGGAACGGACTCGGGATGATGTGAAGCACCTTTACGCCTGGAGGAAAGAGAAAAATGTCAGAATGAGTCGCTGCCTCACTTCAGTCACGTCACGAAACTACACTGTCATGAAACTGTCACACTGTCACTAAACTACACTGCAGCACTGTCACGAAAGCGGAAACTACCGGAGCAGTGGAGCTCACCCCCCCCCCCCTAGCAGTTTCTCCCGACGTCCCGACTGTAGCTTGAGCCAATAGCAGAGTTTTGTCAGGATCAGGCTGACGCCAAGACGCCTTTGTTACGGAAATATGAATAATGGGATGAATTCAGTCAAATCCCAGACGTTATTTAGACGTGCCCATAAATCACCAGGTCCGCTCACTCTGGGCTTCCGGTTTACTTTTTAATCAAGGAAAAGAGTTGAACAAAACATGAACCACGCAAAAAATGGTAAAGTTTCATAAATTTATGCGAAAAGTCGTCCGTAATGTTAGGGCGAAATTCGTAGGTAGTGCTTGTGCGTTATATTGCTCCTTCAACGCTGGCATAAGCGATGCTCCAGAACCTATTGAAGAAAGGTATACGGCAATGGTTATGTGTGATACATAGACCTCTGTATACATGCCATTGATACAGAGAATACAGAGGTCTGTGCGTAATGTTTTAGATAAAAAAGGAAGTCTGTTACCATAAGAATATAATTTGATGCATTTATGGATGTGGACACATCACTATAATAAAGCAATAACGATCTACTCTCTGTCCCATACCGCGTCTCTGGAAGGGCAGGTGGTCGTCGCTGATCTGCGGCGGCCCCCAGAGGCCCCACGACTTGCGGTAGCGGAACACGTTGGGCGCCTTTGTGAGCAGGCCGCCGCGCCGCAGTCGCTTCTCGACGCCGGCCAGGTGGCGGAACAGGGCGTTCGTGTCGGTGATGTAGTTGGAAATGGTCGGTTTTGAGGCTCCCAGGAGGTCCAGCAGCACAAACAGATCCTGGCGGAAGACGTGTAGGTACGAGTTAAAGGTATGAAACTAATCAGGCGTTCAATCACTGACAACTTTTAACTCCATGGCTCAATCTTATTAATCCGCGAGTTAATCCCAGAGTTAATCCTCTCGCGCTGGTGAGGGAGTACGAGGCAGCAGACGTTTTTGTACTACGCACATTGGGGTAAACTCTTCTCATTTACTGTATTGCACAGGAAAACATATGATTGAGAGTTTCTGTTACTTCAGTTCATGGGCATAATTGTCTAGTTTAACCGCTGAGTAGTTTTTTTAAGGCATTCCAGGGGAATGTATACCAGACTTTCATCGTACGACAGTTCAAAATGCTAAGAGCAGTTTCCGATCGACATGCCTGCTTTGTTCGCTTTTCCTCGGTCAGCGTGTGTTCAATTCATGTGAAAAAAGATGAGCACTGTAAATTCCTTGACGGCATTAACATCAACTTAAAAGTCATCACTATACGTGAAGAAGCCAAACGGAAATGAAAGGACATCTTGTTCTTCCGATAAGACGCGACTTAAGCCTTACATAACTGATAACGGATAAGAAATCTGCTTAGAGCCCGTTTTTCAGCCAGCGATCTCCAGTCGTTTTGCATACAGAAAAGCACAGAGGTAAATGTTTACGGTTGCCAGCGTAAAAACGTCTTAGATATGATTGATACAAAATCTCCTTTCCGGTTATCATTCTGATTTCTGTAAACGGAACATGAGCCATCAATCGGAAACGATTACACTCAAAGTGGTTCCAACTTCCAATGCATCGATCACTCCCAGAGTGGTCTTGGATATCAGACCTGAAAGAGAAGAACCATAATTTGCAGTTCTCTCATCCACATGATTCTTCGCATCTATGTATGCGTAAAAGATATAAATTTTGCTCCATTGCTGCACAAGCACATGCACCGGTTTAACATTTCAAGGCGCAGGAACGCGTTATTCTGTTGAGGATTTTGGCTTACGAATCCTATTTTGGTTTCATAGATCCATGATTGAAAGTTTGATAGTGCCAAGGATACTGGTGTGAAATATTTGTTACTCTGTACCATACCACATCTCTTCTCGAGTAAAGGTCAATGTGCACCGGTAATAGACTGAACTTTAAGCAGATTGGAGCATTACCCCAATAATGCATACAAGCAACTGAAGTCGATGTCTGATGTGTTGTCAATGTCCAGTGCTCGCAGCCCTAAAAGTCAATTAACGAATTTAATTATGTTGCGTGCTTGTCAAAAAATATTGTTGTAGGTATGCATAGGTAGTTGTAGGTGTAGTAGGTATAAGTATTGTAGGCTTCTCACTTCCGCTAATGTGTAAAAAGAATCGTGATAAGCAATAAAGTTCAAGACCTTGAATATAAATCGTGCGTGCTTCGTGTAAGCGAACACAATCGTCTCATAACTTTTGCCATCGAAAGTAACAGAGGCTGACTCGCCTTCCCATGCGGATTTCAACCGACGCATCACCCAGATCCGCCGATACGTTTATGTAAATGCCGACGTGTGGGAGCTGCAGCCAGAGCGTAGAAGCTGCGTCCAAAGGGAGATATATTTAAGCTGTTCGGGCTAGGAAGCCCACAGAGCTCCGTTGACTAAGCGACTCAGTTGGAACGGTTACCGGTATACCGGGTGGGCGGAGAGACGTGTCGCCGAATAACGAGACGTGATTAGTGGACCAGCTCGCCCTGCGCACCGCCTCACAAATGGGGGTTGAGTGGGCGTGTCTCACACATGCATTCACAAAATGTTGAATGCGCAGCTGTATGCTGGAAGGCCGGGGATAATATGCCCGCGGATATTATGGCACATTGGGTCCGGTATGTGTAAGGTTTGGTTCACAGAAACGTGTATAACAGAAACATGTTACCGATGTCTTTTAAATGAACTGCTAAATTTACTGTAATTTCAAGAAATTAATTATATTGCAATCGATTTACAATTAGGAAAACGGCTACGAAATTCAAATAAATTTCAAATATATTGTAAAATTAATGTATAACGAACGCTCTAATATGTGCTGTAGGCGTTGCTTTTGATTGTTGGGCTAACTCACGATTCGGTCGAGGTCGGAGATGTTCTCCTGGCCTCCCCTGCTCGGTCGCTGCTGGTATACGGAGCTCTGCAGCTCGCGGGCCAGTCGCCGCGAGCCGTAGATGGAGTCGCGGTCCGACCAGCGGACGAACGCCTCCTCCCCGTCCAGGAACATCAGCTGCAGCGAGATGTCCGACTGGCCCTGTGGGTCACAGGTCACAGGCCGGGTCACAGGACAGGTCACAGGTCAGGTCAGCACCGCTGCGCGGTCCAGGAACATTAGCTCAGAGAGATGTCCGACCGGCCCTGCGGGTCATTGGGTCAGGTCTCAGGTCAGGTCAGCGGTCAGGTCGTGAGTCAGGTCAGCTTTCATTTGCAGAACAAGAGCATCAGTTGTACTGGGATTTTGGACAGCTCCGGGGGTTCACATATTGTAAGTCACAGTAAATGAAAACAATAGTCCACCTCGCAAGTTGGGTCGCAAGCAGGTCACACAGTTTGTTCGCAGGTAGGATTCCAGTTAACATCACAATCCAGATACCCAACTATTCGTCAAGCTCGTATGGACAACAAACATTTGACGGGCAAACAACTTTTCATCCACTATATCCATATCAGGAGGTCAATAGAGACTGATATTACCAATTACTATAAATACCACAGACCTTTCTATATAGCGCTGCCAACCTCTATATAGGGAAGTCTGTGACTATATATACACAATACACATCGAGGCGATTCCGACCACTCTGCGATACCGGCTAGTCTAGTGCGTGTCGGCGGCCCCTGACGAACGAAGCGATATTGTGCGGCCGTGTCGGGATCGCACGGTTTTCTGTATCATCCGGAGGTCCGGCTCCGCTCTGTTGAATCAGCCCGAGGTCCGACAATTTACTCTGCTGAATGAGCTTGGCACTGACTGATAATGTCGCTCCCACAGGCAGCCAGCGGCGCATCTGAGAGAGTCGCCCCAGGCGCTATATCCACCTAAAGAGTTGGACTGCCCAGTGTCCATGGCTTGTGATCCTATTTCAGTCGGAAAGAATGCATTGTCCACCCCCACAGTCACTCTTACGGACAGCTGGCCGCCCCCAGGCGCCATTATCTCCGACAAAAGAGACGCACCATCCACAGCTGGAAGTCTTATTTTAAACGAGAGGAATGCATCGTCCGCTCACGTGAACCACCCACTCTTACACTCGACCCTACGCCACCTCATTTTCCGTGTGACCAGTTGAGATGCTAAGGATGACGTAACTTCCATCTTCCATGAATCATCGTGACGAACGGCATGTCGCAGTGAACGGGTGACTAAACGGTAGACGACGGCTGTCAAACCACGCTAGGCTCTACGTGACTTAAGTCGACGCTCATTGATAATTTGACGCACACAGAGCTGCAGTAATCGATTCAATAACGTCGAAGTGTTTGAAGGCAGAGCGATGTCCCCGCACAGGAAAAAATGGCACGGATGCCTTCAATCGTTTAGTCGTTTAGTTTCCGATTTCCTATGGTACTTTGATGTCAAAAGGATCAATCGTCGTCGGTGAACCACGAAAACGGAAACAGTTTTGCTTCCCACATCAGAGTAGGTTCGAGCTTATTAAATCAAGTCAGCCATTGAACGATGAAAATAAATTGATATGGCCTGTGTATGAATAAACGGCAATAGAGTATCCTGATTACTTTTTCGGGGAAGCCCGCCTGTGCATTGTGGTGGTCGGCGGCGGGTCGGTGGGCGGGGCGGTTGGCGGGGGCGGGGGCGGGGGCGGCGGCCGCCCACCCGGGGCAGCAATCGGCGGCCGGCGTGCCACTAATTGAGTCGCCGGCGGCTATTCGGGGAGCGGTCGACGAGCGGCTCGGTCGTGTCGTGTCACGGGACGGCGTCATCAGCCTGCGGCGTGCCCCCCCCCCCCCCAGCCCCAGCCCGGGGCATAGTCGCACCGCGGCCACCAACGACTCTGTCCGGAAATAGGCGGACCGCGCGGCCTACAGCTCAACTTTGCCAGGCGTCGGTATATTGGGATGTTTGACCAATGACGTACCCTTTTAGACCACGAAACAGGAGACCATCGGGCATAATGGGTATTTATAGCAGTAGAACGTAGGTATCAGACTGTTTGTAAAAGTTGAGATTCACCTTATATTGCTCTTTATAGAACACATCCATATTTCACAGTCCATTTAAATGACCGTGCACAGGGTATTTGACCACAATGGATGAAGTTGATAGATCCCATTCCAGGACGAGTAACGCCCTGCACCGGTCGTTCTTGCATCATCCCCTGGCAGACAGGTGCTGAGGTAGCTTCCGCGACATCAGAGCGCTGCAGATGGCTCGTATGAGCCGGCCGGAGAGCCAACGAGTGCCTATATTGGACACAGGTGACCGGGCGAGTGCCACGCCGTGCGTCACTGAGGTGAAGTGGTCATATACATACACCGGGACCAAGATCTGACGTCAGTTGGGTGTTATACGAAGGAACACGGTACGGCTACAGCTACATCGGATGGTGGACCAGGTGTTGTGGTCTGTTCAGTATGCACAACATCATAGATACCAGACCACGTAACAACGCAGACAAGTAATGAAACAACCAGGTTATGACTCATTCACCTATCTGCTTCTCTACACCCTTCCATGGAAATAGCGCAACAGCGATTTTTAATAACCATCCTATGATTCCCGAGGGATCACTTTATAACTGATGATGTAATAAAGTTGCCACAACCTCAATCAATTACAAGCGTGACAGCAAAGTGAAGTTATTGCTCGACTACATCGACAATTGATCACTGCTCAGCGTTTTAAAACAAAGACTGGATCCTAGAGAGCAAAGTGCTCGGTCATCAATCAACATGCAAGTGGGGACACTGACGAATGGCATTGTCTGGACAGCAACTAACTGAATTTATGACTCCATCGAAATGCTCTACGTTTTCGACAGTATACTTAAATCCAAGTTAAACATTTTGGGCGATCTTTGGTGTTCTGTTGGTAGAACAGCTACCTTCATTCTTTTCCAATTTAATTATGGGCGGTGGGTTTCACGCTGGAGTCCTGAGATGGGTAGTATTATGCCGGCATGTGTAGGTATGTGCCTCCAGTGGTATAGTCCCCGGAATAATATGAGTCGAGAAGTGCATACTCTCTCCATGAGACGACACTCTATCTAATGGCACCTAATGGGTAGACACTCTTGACTTATGGGTACCTCGAGATCACAAACTGCCAGCCTTAATGTTAACGGCGTCATCTCAGCTTAGCGCGCCTCGAGAAAATGGGTCGACATTGTGTCAGTGATGCCATTAAGCCGAGGGAAGTTTCGTTAGGTTAAGAGGTTCAGTGAAATCATAGAGAAGAGCGAATAATGACCACCGATGGATGCACTTAGGAGAAAAACTAGCGAAGTTTTAATATAAAACCATGGTGGTGGCGGAAAGCGAGTGCTACAATAGGAGTGTTTTTTCTAGTCCCTATGTATATCAACATATAGCCTGAGTGCTAGTTATGCTAACAGCTATCGATTAAGAAGAGCCCATAGCACCGAAGAAACATTCATAAAAAGACAAGTGTTTTAGTTTATATAATTACTCATCATTTATATATTGTCTAATTTATGCAAAAAAAAAATTATCTTATATCCCAACCACCTACAACCACCAGTACCAGTGGTTGTGGTACCAGTGGTAGGTGGTTGTATTTCTAAAGCAGAAACATGCCAACATGAAGATAATTACGAAATGCAGAAATCAAGAAGCGAAGCACTCTAGCATTGTTTGTCCACCAAAACCTGCCGACCCATTGCCTTGTGAGGCAGGGATGGTCACGTGACTGACCTTCATGGGGTCGAGGTAGTCGCGAGTCATCAGTGCCGCCAGGTACAGCATCATGGCGCAGGGTACCGCCGAGTCAGTGGCCGCTGGAACACGACGGAACCTGGGTGTCAGTGTGACCGGGGCGTGCTAGCCAGGGATCTCTGTGGCATAGCGGTAGACTGGGCGACAGTTAACCCTATTAGTGGCAGGCTCCTGGCTACCCCCTATTAGTGGCAGAGGGGGGCTGTTTACGACCCCCCCCCTTGATATCTCGAGATCTAACGGGCCGATTTTCAAAATTCAAACGGCATTCGATTTCGCTCAACGAGATCTACATTTCTAAAAAAAAAAATTGAAAAATGTCAATAGGGGGGTAGAGGGGGGGGGGGGTAAAAACGGGCAAATTGCAGATACATTTTAGACTGTTTATCACGGCCAGGTTTCTGAACCAATCTTAACGCAACTTTTGCCGATCGATAGAGAATGAACCAGGAATTCACATGGATCCTAAAAATATGCATTTTCAAAAATCATAGGCGGATACAGATCATTGAGATTGGGGGTACACAAAAAAGTATAGTAAATAAGGTTTTTGTTGGTACTGTTTCTAAAAAGGGTGGCAATGGTCTTGTTATGTTACAATTTTCTTATGAGAGAACGACTAAAATTGTATTGGTCATGCATAGGCGGTGTAAGGGCACCTATGTTGGGAGGTAAAAAATAACCCCCCTTTTTGGACGCCTGGATCCGCCTATTATAGCAAAAACGTCAAAAGAGGATGCACAATAACTTTGTATATGTTACCAGTATAACGCCTTTTGGGGCGACTAACGGAGCGAGCGAGAGGGTGGGCCTTGCACGTGCGAAATTGTGAGGGGGTACCTCCAACTGACTTGTGCACGGCACCCTACTAACTGGTCTCTAGCGATGTGCCAAATTTGGGCACAATCGGCCCAGCCGTTCTCGAGATCTGGAAGCGGCACCCTGCACGTGCGCACGTGCAAAATGGGTCCCAACTGACTTGTGCACGGCACCCTACTAACCGGTCCCTAACCGTGTACCAAATTTGAGCGCAATCGGTCCAGCCGTTCCCGAGATCTGGAAACGACTCCTGCACGTGCGCACGTGCAGCAGCACCCTAACTCTGGCACATGTACATGCAGTGCCTAGTGGGTGCCTACCTACATGCCAACTTTCAGCGCAATCGGCCAAGTAGTTACCGAGATATTGCAACAATTACAAAACTGACACCTCTTCGTTTTGCACGTGGCACGTGCATAAGGGGTCACCCACATGCATCGGGAACAGGGTTGTATACGACTCAGTCAATAGCAATCAATTCAATCACGACAAATTTGGGAAACCAATCAAATCAATCAAGTCAGAGCAGTTTTCGGGAATTGATTCAATCGACTCAAACGCGACAATGAAAGGAATCAATCAACTCAATCAAACGACTCAAACCAAGACATACTTTAGGTTTTTTGCCCACCAACTTGGAAAGTGTCCATAGCAGTCTGGTGTACCTACCTACCTACCTACCTACCTACAGAAGAAACATAAAAATATTGTCATTTAAAATTATAAATTGCCATGCCATTCAAAGTTTCTATGTAATAAGGAAGGATACCTAGTGATGGACAGGTGGATCATGATATTGAGGTTCAATGGGTAGAATTAAAGCAGAAGTTTCATTTAATGGGTGCAAAATAACCCAGTAGTTGACTTGCCCCTTAACCCAAATCACCACCTTTCACCTAAAAGTTGTCAATTTAATTTTGGCCATATTCCAACTCCATTTACACTAAATATCAGATATTGCAGTTGAAAGTTGGCTGCTCGGATTTTGGCAGTGTTCGTGATTTGGCCATTTACCCTACACCATGTCTATTTCAATGGATTATATGCATCAATAACATATTAACCATAGGGAAATAGAAATAAATATCTTACCTGTATGTGACGGTTTTGGTTAGACAGAGACTGACGGGCAGCCTGAAAAATCTTTCCACACAATGTGCATTTGAGACGTGGGATGTTGTCAGATTGGGAAGGAAGAGATTTGAAGTATTTAGCGGTCCACGACTCTGGACGTGGCATGTCAATGTTAGGTACCTATGTGAAGAATTCAAAACATTTGTGTTTGAATTTTATTGCAATACAATTTGAAACTGTTAAGACTGGGGGATAGGGATGAGGGTTAAAAAATATATTTAAAAGGAAATGGAGAGGACAGGAACTCTGGAACCACAGTATAAGTTATGGACAAAGGAAGTGGGAACGAGGAAAATTAAAACGCGAGAAAACGGCACGGTGCGACTGCATGAAAACGTTTTGCCAATAAGTATGCTAAGCTTTTATAAATCCTTATTCTACGTCTTTTGATTTTTTTGTAAGATGACGTCATTGATTATCATGTAGTATGGTAGATCATCATAAAATAAATCGGTTATACAACACCAATTTCGTTTTAGTTATTATTTTATTTGAAATAAAACCACTTAATAATATTCGGTAAAATATTTCAAGGAAAATGAAATATATTAAATATGTTATGCTTAGGCTCTCAGGAGAAAAGGATCAACAAACGTTCTGCTGCAAATTAAACAATGCAGCAAATTAGCTATTAATTAGGCACGTAAACGTAAATAGCGAGACGAAAACGGCGAAAACGGCGTTTCAGTTATTTTTGTAGGGGTTTCAGATATCTATAGAGTTCAGTGGGTTGTTTCTGAGGAGATGTAGAGATGTGAATTATTAATTAATCACACTTTATTAGTATATAGGGCCTTGCACTTTATCATCTGGATTAGAAAAAACGTTTCCTGCTGAGTGCAGAAAGGTAGGTAGGTGCATCGCCAGGTTCTATCACCAGGATTGGTGCAGTTATTGCAGTTGAAAGTCAAAGTTGGCTGTTCATGTTTAGGCCCTGTTCTTTATTTGGCCATCTACCCCATATTGCAGTTGTGATGACAAGCAGTTTTCAGTGCAGTTTTGTGATCTTTTGGTGTCATTATTTTTCGTCAACTAAAAGTTATTTGAACTCTCCTTTCAATCGACTCAATCATACGAGTCACTCTAATTTTCAGGAATCAAATCAGTCAACCAGTCGCTAAAGTCAAACGAGTCAGTCAACCAGTCATATCGAAAAGTCAATCAACTCAATCCAATCAACTCAAAATACGCGTTGAAACAAATCAATCAATTCAATCGACTTGATTGGTATACAACCCTGATCGGGAATAGTCCAATACTTGGTAGAAGGAATGAAGCTACCCTACAAAAATTACCGCGTGTAAATCGGTCAAGTGGTTGCTGAGATATAAGCCTCGCAAAAGCGTGACCACGGCCGGCCGGCCGGCCGGCCGGCCGCTCATACTCAGAAATTTCCGTTAATCTAAGGAAAGACTACGCTCGCTTCGCTCGCTCCGTAATCACATGATACCTTTCATTCACTGTTCGTAAAACTGGTGCAGCATCGTGATCTTCGCCCAAATGACTCGCTTCACGAATAGGACCCCCCAATTCCCAGTGCTCTGGAGCCGCCCCTGGTAAAGTTATGAACTTGAAATTTTCAGGGAATGTGCCCAATTTAGTTTTAGGAAAAGTCAGAAAATTTCAGCATCGTAGCTTCAGCGGTTTCGGAGATATTCCCGAAAAACCTGAGGGGTGGATAAAAACAACCCCCCTGCCACTAATAGGGTTAACAGAGATAAGGTAGAACACACAACTAAACAAAGGTTAGATACACCACGTGCCCACTCTGCACAGATTGTAGCGCGTATGGATGGAATGGGAGACTGTACCGCAGCACCCAGTAAATAAATGGTAGACTGCACCGCAGTACAAAGTGAGTGGTAGACTGCACCGCAGTACACAGTGAGTGGTAGACTGTACCGCAGTACACAGTGAATGGTATACTGCGCTGCATTACACAGTGAATGGTATACTGTGCCGCAATGCACAATACACAGTGAATGTGCCGCACTACACGGTGAATGGTATACTGCACCGCACTACACAGTGAATGGTATACTGTGCCGCATTACACAGTGAATTGTACCGCAATACAAAGAGAAAGGAGAACAAAAGACGGAGGACGGCTTCCGCAATTCGATCGAATATATTTACAAACGTTGGAGTAGACAACCTTTCCACACACGAGGAATGGACGCTAATATCTCTGAATTCTTGAAGCTAATCCTTCTTCTTGGCTTTGAATGAAAATGAATCGTTCCCTGGGGTCCTATACAAGCTGTAAAACAATCAACTTGTCGCCCATATTTCACATTTAACCAAATGTTAGTCGGATGGGCACTTTCAATCGTCCACATGTGGCCCAGTCGAGCGCGATGAGAAAAGTACATATGTACAAAGGATACGCATTGTAAGCTGGTTATGCCAACAACAGAAGTGTTAATTGTCGAAGGCCAGTAGCGGCGAAAAACCCTCAATTAAGGGGGGGGGGGCACTGCCGACTTTTGGTCCCATTCTTTCCATGCAACGCCCATAGGGCTAATGTTAAAATGCAAAATCAGAGGGGGGCACGGTGCCCGGTGCCCTTCCCGTTCCGCCGCCTACGTCGAAGGCGCGTATCATCCTTATTTTCATCAGCGTTTACCGTGCTGGCTATTTTTTATTGTTCATAGACAATATTTTCTAGTTCTAATCCCCACCACAAAGTTCCCTTGACAGAGCCCTTCGTGCTGTGCAGAGGAACCGAATCGATCCACACATCTCTCCGACACAGCGATATGTGCGGCGCCACAGGTGTCTGTATGTAGGTGCCTCGTCACTTGGTGCGTCGCTGGCCGCCCGTCACTGTCACCGGACTGTCCAATGCTTCTGATAACCCTGTAATGACGTCATCATTGACATTTTCACACTCTGTATCTTTTTCTTCCGAGCGTACTCATCGGGCTGAGTATTAAAAAGCTTCTGAGCAAAGGTAAAAGACATACTTGATATGTCAAACCGTCAAACGAGATAGCATCCATTAAGGTTGACTCGAAGTTCATATTATGTGACTTAGGGTAGTGTGGGGTAATTTGAACATATTTTTACGTCTTCTCCATTGTACCAAATTCCAGTTCAACCCTGGATG